TCTTAGTGCTTTGAAGAAGCACTACAATAGTGTTTGTGCTCATAGGACAAGTGGAGGAACAAGATGCTGAATCGTAAGTGCTCTGGGCACTTCTTAATGCCAGGCACACCTCAATTATCCCTCTTAGCAGTAGGCACTACATGCAATTTCTTAACTATTTTGTTTTAATATTTATGATCCAACTAGTACTGATAATTTCGTTGTTTTAGGTTAGTAAGACTCTCTTAAGCGAAATGAAGCTAAAAATATATATTTAACTGGAGGAAAAGAAATGACAATTGTCAAATATAAAATAGATATGTCAGCTGGGCAGAATGCTACACACCTTTAATACCAGCACTCAGGAGGCAGAATCAGGCAGATCTCTTGAGTTTGAGGCCAATCTGGTCTGCATAGTGAGTTCAAGAACAGCCAGGGCTACATCTACACGCCCAAAAGAACTTACATGATAGGCTCATAGCAATAAAATATTAATAATTATAAATGCCTGATAAGGTGTAGTTTCACTCTAAAAACATAAAATTACCTAGATATCAATTCCCTGCTACAATGTAACAAGATATTTTCTGTCCCATCAGCCAGCTCCCAAATAATGACAAAGAAACTTTTTAATTGTGAAAGCTTGGCCTATAGCTTGGATTTGTTCCTAACTAGCTCTTATAGCTTAAATCAACCCATTTCTAGTAATCAATGTTTTACTATGTAGCTTTTACCTTTCTTTCATTCTGTATGTTGGACTCCACATGTCTAGTTGGTATCTCTCCTGAGCCAAGATTACCCCTCCTATACCTCCTGCCTAGCTATTGGCCGTTCAGATCTTTATTAAACTAATCACAGCAATATATCTTCATACAGTGTACAAATATCCCACAACACTACAGACTGTAAGTCAGTGCAGGGAATTAGCTTAAGCCCCTAAGTGTGCAAGTACTCAACAGTAAGCATAGGTAAATGTCCTTCCTCCTTGCAAAACTTTGGGAGAATCCAGCACAAAACATTTACATACATCACCTAACTACTTACAATAACATGCCACAGACTAGATAACTCACTCAGAGGTAAAGTTTCGGCTAATTTCTTAGCAACTGAGATGCAAATTAACCACACCAATAACTTTCATTCCCAAAGCAGAGGACATTAAGATGACATTTGATAAAATATTATAATGGTCAAAATACTGTAATTGGAATTTAAAGCAAAATTGTAAGAAAATTAATTTGGGGACTGGAGAATGGCCAGGGTTAAGGGGACTTGCTGCTCTTCAGTAAGACCACCTGGGTTTGGTTCTCCAGAAGTTTGAATGAGAAAGGCCCTCACAGGCTCATAAGCTTTAACACCTGGTCTGTTGATGGAACTGTTTGGGAAGGACCAGGTGGTATGGCCTTATTGAGATGATGTGCCTCTAGGGGCAGGCTTTGAGGTTTCAAAATCCTCTTCCCATTCCCAGTGTGTCTCTCTTTCTGCCTCCGACTTGCAGATAAAGATGTGAGCTCTCTGCTGCTCCCGCCATCACCTTTGCTCCACTGTACATGGACCCACGTGTATGTGGCACACGTACCCTGGGGATAACCAACAGTTCTCTAATGGACTGGAAATTACGCCTGCCTCGGCTAGTGAAGTCACACATCTCGGAGGAGAACCTGCAACTACCATGTCACTAAACCGGCCTAACTCCTAACTACATCCTAAACATCTGTCCTATACCCACAGATAAACAGTCCTCATCCCCCATCAAAGAAACTTCTCCATGCAACAGATAGACCACTACAGAAAACAACGATCAATCAAAATGCGAAGTTGTGGACCACTGGCATTCCAGCCTACTTTTCCACGATTCCAGGATATACAGAGGACCAGCTGAGCAACTACGAGATTCTTGGACTTTCCATTCAGATAGACTGCAGCCTGTAAGTCATTCCAATAAATCTATATATACATACATACACACACACACACACACACACACACACACACACACACACACATATATATATATATATATATATATATATGTAAGTTCTGTCACTCTAGAGAACATCACTAATATACTGACCCAGGGGCACCCTGAGCTTTAACTGTTCTTTTACCACTGTTTAGTTTTTGAAAAATAAATTAGAATCAGACAGAAAAATACCAAAACCATGCAGAAGGCATTCAGCATGTTATGGCCAAAAGCTCATCTCATTTACCTTTATTTAATCAAAACAAAATACCCAGAAAACAGAAATCACTAACATGCACACCCAAAAAAGGTAGTGTGCAATTTAACTAGCATTTTCGCTAGTTTCAGATGTCTATAGCTACACCTTGCTGTGCCGATTCTGAAGAACACCAAATGTGTAATTTCTCTAGGATACGGTGCCCAGTTGGGAAATCCTGGTCCTCTACTGAACAATAATTATCTGTACCTAAGCAAAACACAAAATCAGTTGCATTCTTTTTGTTACATTTTCGGTTTTTGAGACATGGTCTACATAACTTAGGTTGACCTCCAACTCACAATCTTCCTGCCTGGGTCTCCTAAATATTAGGATTTGCTAAGCACTACCAATCCCAGCTGAACTGCCTTCTTTATGAGAATACTTTTCAAAGAATGGTGATTTACTATAATTACTGCAATCCAAGGGCTGAAGCAGAAGACTTGGCACTGAGTTCCAGACCAGCCTTAGCCTTTCCCCCCAAACCAACCACAGGTAGACAGAGTAGTAATCTAGTTCCATCCAGCACTTCTGCAGCAAAATGGAAGGTGGACACTAGAGAATCCCCAGAAGCTTGAAAGCCAACTAACCTGGCTACACAGAAACAAACAGGAGACCCCGTCTCAAACAGTGGAGAAGGCTAGGACTAGCACCTCACGTTGTTCTGACTTCCAATAATGTGTACCCTGGCCTGTGCACACATCAACTTGAACACACACACACACACACACACACACACACACACACACACACACACAGGGGCCTACGACATGGCTCTGTGGGTGAAGGCACTTGGTTCCAAGTGTGACTGACCTGAGTTCAATCCCTAGACCCACATGGTGAAATGAGAACTGACTTCTGCCAAGTTGTCCTCTGAAGCCTAGTGTGGTGACTCATACCTTTAATTCCAGCACTGGGAAGGCAGAGGCAGGGGATCTCTGTGTGTTTGAGGCCAGCCTGGGCTACATAGTGAGTTCCAGAACAGCCAGAGCTACATAGTAAGACCCTGTGTCCAAAAAAAAAAAAA